CGTTGTGTAACGCGACGCTGTTTACAAATGGCCAACGAACTTTGTGGACACCCTAATAACTATGGTGGCACATTTGTACAACTTCGTAGATTTACAACAATTTACATGTCTTACCGAAGAGAGACTTGTTAGCTAATATGACACTAGCAAAAGGAATTAGAGAAAATGCAAATGCTGTGCCCTCCCAAGCCGCACAGCGTCTTTTCTTGGAAACAGAGTCCAGGACCAGCGAGCGAGCTATATTCTAAGCGGGAGACAGCATCGTGATGTGTGAAGTAGCGATGTCAGTACGAGCACCAGGATTTTCTCATCTAGTACGGCACCCCCCCCCTTCCATATCCCATCTCTTCTATCTACATAATTTTCTCAATTAGCTCGCATGGGGGGAGGGGGAGGGGAGGAAGGTGCCCTAATTCCGAGAGTCGGTAGTTCCTGATAAAGAAAATGGTCATATTTTCGTATGTACTCATTTTTGAAGGAATGAGTTATTTAAACGAAATTGTAGTTTGTAGCACCTTGAAACTCCATTATCATTTCACGATAAAAGTTTCAATGACTAATAAATGATTTTATATTTGCTGACAACCGAAGGTTTTTCAAGTTGACTCCGAGTTTTCAGGTGTTGGAGCCGTTCATCGTATTGGCGGCTGCGAATCGAGCTGTTCATCAAGCGGCCCACAACCGCTTGTCTACTCGAAGTCTTTCAGCTGAACTCGTCTATAGTTTATCGCCGAGTCGAAACGTACGCTTTGCTTGATAAATTTGCTTTTTTATGAGGAATTAGGTAGCTATGACCTCAATAGTAATTCGCTTTGTATAGGATACAGTACGTCGTCGTACGCTAGGGAGTCCCACAATGAGGGTCTTATTTGGTCGCTGGAAGAAAGAAGTCGCATTTAGCCTGAGGAAATACTTCAATATTTCTTATTTCACCCGTCTCCACCGCCACCCCCTAGTTGACCGTGCGAAGGAAGTCCTATACAGTACTACTTTTATAGCTGAATTGGGTAGTTGTATTGGTATAACTGTTGTGTGGTCCCCGCCGCCCTCGCCGGTCAACGGCAGTTATAGAGGAGAATGGAAATTTTTTTAGAAAACAGGAAAGATTGAAACCTGTTAGAAGGTTGAGAAGATTGAGAAAGATGGTATGTAGGATGGAAAAGGAGAAGGGAAAGGATCATATTCTGCAAAATTTTTCCCCAGAGACGGGACGTGCGCTAATGGAATATCAGAACGCTACTATAGTTTTCAGCAACTAGGTTACGGTAGTACTGGTTTTTGCAGATTTCTGACTCGCTGGTGACATTTGGTATCGCCGACACGAGCAAGAACATTCTTGTATGCATATTCGATGACAAAGACGGTTCAAAAATGAAGAAATTGGCAAAAGAAATCGAAGGACGGCCGGAAAACCTGGATAAGTTGACCTCGATCATGGATCTTCGTGTCATTCGAAAGGTTCGTTACTAGACTAACAGCTACGTATATGTCTACATAAAGAATGTTATATGATCTCATAAAATCAATCATCCCATAAAAGAAAACGGGTAAAATGGTAAAAATTCCCATTATTCAGTTTTTTCATTAGACTGCCTAACCGCTTCGTTTTCACCTTTTTGTTCC